GGAAATTTGAAAAGCTGATGGGTCTGGAGAGGAGATGGAGGGAACAGTGATGGAAACCCCGTGGACATGGCACAGCCTGCGGTGGCTGTGGCAGGTTGTTGCCTGCGCTTGGCACGGCATTAACATTTGGTGCGGATTTGCCTGGGAGCTAACAGAAACTATCCCTGGGTTTTATCCTCTGATGGGATCCGTAAAGTTTTGTGGTCCCACATCTGTGACCGCGGTACATGTGTGTGGGTGTGGGAGCGAACGCGTGTGACGGTCTGGACAGGCTGCAGTTTTAGCCCTGGCGTCCCGGGCTCAGTCAGGGTCTGCAAAGGAGCGAGGGTCCCGACCCCCGCTGATGCTCACCCCTGCTCGCCTGGGTGCTCTCAGTCCCTACATGCTGTGGGGGGATGAGCGGGGGGGGCTGAGCCGCCTGAGTTCTTGCATCCCCCAGCACAGTCTCGGAGCGTGGGGTATTGGCAATGAACGGAAGGGCGTTAGAGAAAGGGGGATGCTTGGGGAGCAATGGCCGCATGCTTGAAGGGCTCCTGCGCCACACAGCGAGGCTTAATGCAGATGCCAGAGCTGCTGAAGGCTGCCCTGCTTCCCTCGCACACCTGGGTTCCCCTGCTGTGAGCTCTCTAGTGAGGGGTGCTTTTCAAAAAGGATTGATTCCTAAATTACAGATGGGGAAACTGAGGCACAGCAACAAGCCCGGAGGCATGGGGAGGCTATGGGTGAGCTGCAGCCCAGGGCTCCCAGCCGCGCTGGCCAGCGTGCCTGCTTGGGAGTGACCCAGCCGATACGCACAGCCCTGAATGTGCAGGTTGGGGCTCCAGCTCCAGCAAGGGTTAAGGCGGCAGCTGCGAGATGGAGCCTGCAGAGGCCCCTGAGCTCCCGAGGAGGAAGATGAGCGTGGCGAGGAGACTGTGCTTCCTCCGGCATGAGGCTCCCCCACCGAGGAAATTGTCAATTAACAACATAGTTTTAACCACACAGCGCAGATTCCCATGATCCGGTGGCTGCTCAGCCAGAAGTCCCCATTATTCGTGTTTATGTCCCCTGGGACCCCAGAGGCCCTGTGAGATCAGGACCCCACCGTGCTGCTGGCAGGACCGCAGGGGTTTGCTATGGCTTCAAGCACTAGCAGCAGCCACGAGGGCTGGGAACCTGATGCCCAGCTCTGTACCTCAGTTTCCCCATCTGCAAAGCATGAAAAGGCTGGGGGTGGAGGACGAGGTTGCTGGGCAGGGGCTGAAGGACGGGCAGCGGGAGCTGGACTGGGTTCCTGCAGGATGCCGGCACTGCAGCCCTCCCCATCGCTGCCTTTTGGGTGGGCATCGCTGCCTCTCTGCCTCCACCCTCAGGGCACAGGATCAGGCCCCAGATTAATTTCGACCCTTTATGTCCAGAGGTGCTGCAAACCCCCAGCCCTTCCCACATGGGAAAAAGTCATTCCGTGCCCTCAGCAGCTCCGAAGGGATGGAGAGGGGACGGAGCAGGAAAGCGTGGAGAGACCCTCTGCCACCAGACACGGGCAACTCCCCAGTTGCAACACCGACAACAGAAATGTGGCTGCTAACAGATTTGCCTGCTTTTTCTGATCTGCACAGTGGGATTGCACCAAAGGGGGGCCCACAGCTGTGCATCCCGCTTCCTTCTCCCTGGCCACCCTTCTGCACATCACTTTCTGCCTCAGTTTCCCTAGCAAGGCGATGAGCAACAGCAGCCCTGTACCGGTAAAGCACGGAGGCTGGCTGGGGCAGCTCTCAGCCCCCGCCACATTGCATGTGTGTGCACCCAAAAGCGTGCTGGGCAGGTCAGCTCGCACCAAAACGGCAGGCGCCCGCCCCCCCCCCCCCCGCCCCC